CTGTTCCTCCAGTTCCTTTCGGAGTATTTCGATTGCAATCAGCCAACGTCGTTGCAGTCTCTGCTTGCGGTCATTAAAAATCTTGACCAGGGTATCTTCTTCTTGCGCAAAATCCGTTGCCAGATTCTCTATATCCTGCTCCTTCTTGTCGGTCAGTTTCTCGAGTTCTTGCTCCTGTCGTTCCAAAAGCTCCTCCATGCGCTTGGCCTGCCGGTCTCGCAAAACGTTGATTTTTGCCTGATGCAAACGCTCCATGCCATCTCGCACGTTGTACTGTTGTCCCAGCAGGCGTAGGTCCCTCTCTGTAACTACTCGTGGTGGCAGATCAGCATTCTGCGTCCGGCCAAGCCCATCGCAGTACGCCTCCATGTGCTTGAGACGAATCTTGACACTCTTTTCGCTCTGGTCAAGCGTTGACCGAAGATCCATCTCAGCCTCAATTTGACGTTCCTCCAAGTGAGCAGCCGTCTTCGCGTGACGCTCTTTCATCTTATCGATCTGGTCCGAGTATCGGTCCGTCAAGGCCTGCTTCTTCTCAGCGTGTCGCGTCCACATGACCCATTTCTTCTTCCTCAAGTACGCCCGGAATCGACCCAGCTCTTGGTTCATCTCGTCTTGCAACGCAGCGAACTGCGCGTTCTCACGGGTCCGCTTCTCTGCTTCAACCTTTTCAGCGGCTTCGGCGGCTGCCGCTGCTTCTTGAGCAACCTTTTCCGCCTCCAATTCAGCTTCTCTGGCCTCTTCCTCCATTCTCCTGCGCTCCAACTCTTCGTCTCCGTTGCAAAAGTTGGGACAACCCACGGATGGATCCCAGATGGCGCCACAGATGTAGCAAAACTGCGCTTTGCATCTGCAGGTCATGTGGGTGCACCCCTGGCTTAACTCGACTAGTGTTCGACACTTATAACAACGTCGCCAGCCGGATTTCTCGCCCATCTTGAGAACGGCCTCCAGTTCCCAGTCAGAAGGGCAATCTTTGCCTACGGGATGGGCACTACGTTTGCACATGACGCATACCCGTGTCCGACATTTACGGCACACCACATCAAAAGGGTGCTTCGGGTCGATCCGGTTGCGAGGAGGGATAAATTCACCACAGGCCGTATTTGGGCAAAAGATCCTAGCTTCCCAAGGTGTGCTGAATTGCAAAGCCGCCTTCAAAAAGGCATGTTGCTCCTCTCGGTTGAGGATTCTCTGAATGATGGATCCCGGGATTGGTTGTGTGCAACATCGAGGCGGCATTTTGGACTCGTCCGTCGTAGCTTGCTGGATCATGATACTGAGGCATTCGGCACAGTATGTGTGGCCACACGGTAAGCTGTGCAAGGCATTCGACTTATTGAAGTCATTGCGACAGCATATGCAAGAACTTGAGGTTGGTCAGCGCGGATACGAAAGCAAGAGGTGGTGGGATTACATACACTGTGGATTCGAGCAAGCCAGACTTGCGCTTCCATCGTATTTTCCTAATGCCCTCTTTGATGCTAAAGTAGCTTCTTCTTGAAGTCACGCTGAAGAGGCTGTGTGCGGTTGTATCGTGTGGTATGGCTGGGGAGGCCTTTTGGATTTTTGGTTGGTGGATATTGGGATCTATTTGCGATAGATACTTGTCGTACTGAGAGAAACTGAGGCTCTTGGAGCGTTTTCTTGCGAGGGAATGCGGAGGAACGTCGGCGGCAAGCGGGACAGCATGTAAAGACGGATGAGATGTCAAGGTTGTGCTTGCTGAATCTCGCGAGGCATTTGAGAACGTTCGGACATGTTGCGTCGCGATGGTCGAGGTCTGCGATTCCGCGCTCGAGGTATTGCGCTTATCGTGTGTGAACCGGGACGTTGGAATACCCAAGGCGGCTGCCTTTGCGACCAATTCCTCCTCAACATCTGCTTCTGATCGTTGCGACGACAGCCGCAACACCTGGGCGCGATATTCTACCTCGCCATCGTCTGGGGTAGTCATGAGAGGCGGCAGACGGGCCATGTCCGGAGATGAGCTCGTCTGGCCAGCGAGCGAACCCATGGCGGGCAGAGGGGTCGGAAAAGAGGAAATCGTCAAGTCAGGGCAGCGCGAGCAGAGGCATCGTGGTTCGGGGCTCGGTGTGGTTGACAGCTCTCCGGACCTCGCCGGCCGGTCAAGCAGACGAAGGTGGTACGACTAATTGGCAATTAATGCGCAGATGGTTTGAAACGGAAGTTGCAGGTACTGACTTGACATCGAACGGATCAAGTGAGGCCGGAGAAAGGATGAACCCACGAGGCAGGGCAACCACGCTCTGGCGAGTAGGCGAAGTGGACAGCGGCAATGATAGGACGAGAGGAGAGCCAAGGTTTGCCAGTGGTGGAGGGCAAGGAAGGCCCAAGGGCGAGAAGCAGGAATAGGTGCGGTGGGATGTGCAGTATTGGTAGAGGGCGCGAAAGGGTGGTGTACGTCGTTTCTTTTTTGGGTGTGAGGGCGAAACGGCGAATTGGGATGCGGCCTGGACCGCGAACGTGACTTGACGGGATAGGAGGATGATGCAAGGTTTGGTGAGTGTCGATTGATTGTCGAGGAGGGGATGGGGAGCCGAGCTGAGCGTCGCTGCGTATGCCGGAAAGACGATTGAGTGTGAAAGGGCGGTTGATGGCAGGGGCGAAAGCGCAGATCTTGGGGACCCTTGAGAATGACAAGGGGGCTATCCGTCCACGGCAGGCTAGAAACGGAGCGGGGAGAGGCAGTAACTGGTCGTGCTGCGACGCTGCGGTGGTGAGATGGGCGGGTAGGGACTGTAGTAGTGACGGTACGGATGGAGACCAGACCGTAAGGAGAACTCGGGCGGAGGGGCTCTCCAAGGTGTCGACAATCAACGTGCCGATGCTAACGTTTTCGAGACAAGGGCCGAACGGTGAGTGCGATTCAAGCCGGGTAGGTTTGCGGTGAATCGGTGGAATGCTAGAGATACCTCTCCGTAGACAACAGCGGCGCAGGTAAATTCAGGCAAAGGGAGGAAGCTGTGGATTGATTGCCTGCCGCGGCCTCTTACTCTGCTGGTCTGGTACTTTGTCGAATGCAGAGAAGAGTTGGGTGAGAGCGGGACCGCAGTATGATTTGTTGTTGATTTGTCGGCTGATGTGTGACGAGAGCGATAACAGGACGGGACTCTTTCGAAGGGAGTGTGAGAGGAAGAAAAGGAGCCCTGACTGGAGACTGCCCAGGTGGGAATCGGGTAGCGCAGGGCGGGCAGGGGCGGTGGACAGTGGGCCTCCCAAGGTGAGAGCGGTGTTACCTTCTTGTTCGCTGCCCGTGTGGAGAGATGGACACTAATACTCATGGAAGGTACAGGAGACGGTAGGGATGGGGACCCAGGCTTTCAGAGACTACATACTGCGGACAGACTGCAGTCAATTTTCGAGGCAACACAAGATGGCTGGTAAGAGATGACAGACATCCAGATGGGCATTAGAGAGCGAGCATAAACATCATAAGAATCAAGATGCAGGCGAGAACCACTGGTTTGGGAAAGATTGGAACAAACGGGACAATGGAGGGACATGGTGACATGGGATTGGGCTTCCGGCTGTTGGCGCCACATCCGACATGACCTGATTCCCCATTTCCTGCATGGCTCGACTCCCGTCCGCACTCTGCACTAATGATGCTGAACTCCGTACTTATCTCATTTCACGTGTCTTTACTGCTTCGCGTCAGTAGGTATCTGGGAGGATTCAATAAGTGCCTTACTGGCTACATCTTCATGTAAGAAGAAGTATACTTAAGGTAAGGTACGGCAGCAAACATATAAGCTATTCCTCAGTACAAATCTGCCTTGGCACGCTTGGGCAAGATGTAGCAGCAGCAGCAGCCGCCAAAGTTGGCAGGCACCTTGCATCCAATCCCTCCTTCTCTTGCCTTACAACTTTAGAAGGCCCCGCCGGTGCCGCCGCCACGGACAGATACGTACCGAGCCCCGTCCCACCCCGGGCACCTGCACCAACTAAGGTACTTGTAAGGTACCTTAGGCATCTCAGCCATTGGATCCCCAGTGGAGAACCCGGAGAAGGAAAGAACGCCCTTGCGCCGCCTTCCCTTTCCCAAATCCCGTCCTGGGTACGGAGTAGGTACATACAACATAAGGTATTCAGTGCGCCTGACTTGCGTTGCCTGTCGTTCCAGTGTGAACCTGCCGCAAAAAACCTTCTGACCGGAGGTAGATTTGCGTCTCATGCTTCAACGTTGATCCGCTTGGACCTCAACGAGGACAACTCCACCTCAAGAACCTTTCCCCCAGTCAAACCACAATCTCCAACTCACTTTTGACAATGGACTTTACAAACCGCAAACGCCGCCAGCAACCCCTCGAACCTTGCAAAGCCTCCTCGATAGACAGGCGTAGATGGACCTTAGCCGCCCAGTGGTGGGCCAACTGACTTGGACAATGTCACAAACTTGACTACCACAGACGGAACCCTGCTGATAACACCACTCCTGGCTTCTTCGTCATTGTCGGTCCCTTGACCAACTGCCATCCTACAGCCTCTACCATGTGGCACGTCGACGTGCCACACTGTTAATGTACAACGTTGGCGCCTGGCGGTGAGCGAACGAAACCGTCCCCGGATACAAGCCTTTGAAGCAGCTTCGATCAAGGCAAAGCTACATTCGGAAATGCATCTCATTCGTTTGTAATACGTGCTATCTGCCCTCTCCTAGGCACCCAGGGGTTATTGTTCCCCCTTTTCCTGTCATCGCCAATAATAAGCTCTGTGCTTGGTTGGCCTGTTGGTACTGACGGCAAATCCAGGTCTTCAAGTTCTCCGGCCTTCACCACAGATCCGACTTTCCTGCATGTGCGAACGGGGAAAGCCACGCTCATTCTCCAGCACCCTCTCGAGCGCCGGCCGTTTCCCTCCATCAGACACCGTTGGCACCCAGTCATAATTCCTAGTATCCGTCGTATGCAGCACTAGATTTGCCGAACCCGAGAGTCAATCCTTACACAGCTTGCCGCAACAATTCGCAATGCATCATGAGCTATGGCCGGTTGAAGGAAATACCGGAAGCTATCCGTCCCCATGGTACCCGTACCGAGTACGCAGGCATATATCAGCCCACTTTCTCCAAGAACCCCATCCCTCTTCCCGCTGACCGGGTTGAGACTTTGAGAGGCTCCGTCAACACGAAGTTTCGTTTCCCACTTGTTTCCCATTTACAATGGCCTTCGACTTACCCGCGCTGCCGATTTCTGCATGCGCTACCAATATTCCCCAATGCTGAGGGGCCTCGGGCTGATGGTAATCAGTCTTCCTGAGGAGACAAACACTCAACGTTCATGTCAGCTACGCCCATGGCACCATCCAATCCCGAATTTGGTTGCCTGACAACTGCATCCTGGACTTCAACACGCAGCCCCGAGATGATCTTGACGCCCACAATGCCAAAATTCGCGTCTCCAACAACTATATTAGCAGTACGTGCGAAACTATGAGCCCTTGCCTGCTCGCCACTTAAGCTTTGGAAACGTCCGTGACACTCAAGGTCGATAATAAGGTCGGCCGATGGTCTGAGCTTCGCACAGCTCTATTGACAGGGCCAAAGTTACTCATGACTCCAAAGATACCTCCAATGTCCCCTCAAGACGACCGCCTTGACTCGCCGACGGATTCTCAACCATAGTGGAGGAGCTCCAATCGAGATTCTCCTCCACAACTCTAATTGCACTCGGGAAGCATGCTGCATGGCTCTCTTGCCCCTTTCCCCGATTCCCCCGCATTAATAACTCGAGTCCGAGTTCCCGCTTCATGCGGGACTTACTTTAGCACCAAGTACTGCACCGCACCGGCCCCACATTGCGCCGTCCGCTGCCGGAGTCATATCCGGGCTGCCGGAGTTCATTCACATTCACCATGAGACCTAGATCTACTACACTCGCTATCACCTCATCTAAACGCGCAGGCGCCAAAGTAAATGCTGCTTACATCGAAAAAATAATGGTTGGTGGCTGGGAACAGGTACCTTTAGATGTCTCAAGTTGGCGACGGTTGGTTTTCCTCACTGCGAACAGAAACAGAAACCAACAAAGAATGGGAGGGAAAAGGACATTGAGCACAAAGCAAAAGGAAGAGCTACGGCTTAACCTTTGCACTCCAACGAAAGTGAGCATGGCCTAGATTGAGGACTACTGACCACTCAAGCTTCCTGGCCATTTCCCCTTCGACTAGTGATCATTCAGTGCGATTCCTGAACCATGTTCCAATTTCAGCAAGGCTGTTCCAGTCAACTCATCCCAAGAAGAAATACTTTCTCCATTCGGCCTTTTTATCATCCCAGAAAACTTCGTAGAGAACGAAGGATGCCGTCAACCCTGCTGCTGCAAACAACTCGCGAAGAAACCAATGGAGATGTACAGGCTGCAGCAGCCCTTCTTGGCGCCCGCAGCAACATCGAGAACTAGCTAAAGCCATGTCATTGTCCCTATCCCCATCGCTTACTTGTCGAGATCATTCGCCTCCTGCCCAATATTCGTCGCCGCACATCGAAAGGCGTGGCCGCCATTGACCATGGCATTACGTATTTCGGTTCTGGGTAAGCGGCGAGGCGAATAACTACTCTTGATACCTGAAGCGGGGGGCGCGTCTCATAAGAAGAGGCTCTCTACTAGAAATTACTCCTCGTCATCGATGCCCATCCCAACAGGGCTCTCCCACGTATCCAGGAGTAGGTTTCTGCCAGACATGACATGGTACCCAACTTTGATCAAGGAAAGCTACCAAGGTCTCGAAGTACACCGCTTTTCACAACGTGGCAGTACTTTATGGCTTCCTCCGAGGCCGTTTGCTAGCAAACACCACACCGGAATGCAATGCCACCCTACGCTCGAGTCAGTCGTCTACATAACACCGTACGCCTTCCACGAAAGCCGGGGTAAGGGTGGTCTCAGCAGCCCTTGTCTGCCCAATGCACCTAGATGCAGTCACAGACTCCCGAGCCCGTCTTTCAACAGCTGAGAGCAACAGCACATCAGACTCTCGTCACTGTGATCTGGTCTGCAGCAGCGGGCTCTCTGATGCCAATAGACGAAGTCGTTTGAGGTTTCTCGTTTCTTCATCGCCTCGTCACCCTGCTTCTGCCGTCAAGTGGAGATAGGTGGCTTGGGTGGGTAAGTATCATCGAATCGATGCCGGCTGGGAACCCGACTTTGACGTTTCCGGTCGACGCTCTTTCTTGTTCCAGCCGATCAAAGGAAAGCGTTAAACCCTAGCGTCTTTGTGCAATCACCGACTTTCCTCAAGTCTGGGTGCCCTCTTTTCGCCCGCCCATCTCGATGGAATGGGAAAAGGCTGAGGAAAGTTTGAAGTCGCCACCGGGCATTGGTGCTGCTGCTTCGATAACTTGCGGGTGCCATATCCAAGTGCTTGTTGAAAGAGAGGCGGGCAGTGCCTTGCTGCAAGCTATCAGCTGTAGTGCTTCGTACAATCGAACAAAAGTTCGGATAGGCGTCTGGGAATTGACGAGTCTCGATAATACAGAAACCGACAATACTAACAGTGGGATCCCTCGAGGAAGACTGCATCCAGGAAACGCCATTGAATCTCTTTGGATTGGAAAGGTCTGTTTGTGTCTATCGAATCTATTGGGGGTTGTGTTGGGTATAGTTACTATTTTGTTGGTACAGGGGTGTGTGTTTTCTAGCCGCGCAACGGAGTATTTACAGGCTCTCTCTCCTTCTAATGAGCTGAGAAGATGGTGGTTTGTCTCCCGTATGGAGGAAAGAAACCTTGACAATATACAAGCCGCATGTGTTGTACAGAATTACGAATGGTAAGGAAAAAAAGAGGAAGAGAGGGTGGGAAAAAATGTTGCTCGTTAGCGCTCGTATAACTCTTTTTTTCCTTTCCTCTGCGCCTTGCGCCTGCTTCCGGAAACGCCGCCGCCGTCGTACGGTCCGTTCTAGGGATTGAGTTTTTTCGCACCAAGCCTTCAAATGCTTGAACAGTCTACCTTTCGCTGATGAAAGGCTCATGTGGTTTTCTGTTCTTTCCCTGCTCTGGAGAAAGACGCGATCGCCGCGCTTAAGGCTGACGTGCAAAAGGCATGCAGGAAACAGCCCATGGGAAGACGATGTTCGTTTGGTTTACCTCTGTTTCATGCCCTGCCTGTTGGAATTCGTTTCATTTTTCCTTGTTTCCTGTTTCGTTTTTTTTTTCTTTGTCGCTACCAAGGCTTAGCTCACTGGAACCATTTCTTGGTCGTGCTCTTGGCATTCGCCGCCGCAGCAGCCTTTTGATTCGTCACGCGCCGCATCTTTTCGCGGTTCCTCGCGTCCAGCTGGCTCCCCGGCCCGTCGTCCTGGAACCAATGCTGTTGACCGACGGCCTGCTGCTGAGCGTGCGCTGACGATGACGAGGAAGAAGACGAAGACGAAGACGACGACGACAGCAGGGAGCGAGTGTTGCGCGTCAGGGGCCCGCGCTCGTCAAACATCATTTTGACGCGCTGGACCTTGCGGAGCTTGACGAGGCCGTACCAGCAGACGATGAGGGAGCAGATTGTCGAGGTGATTGTGACGCCGGCGAAGCCCCAGTTGGTGTCCTCGATGAAGTTTTCGAGGTTCATGCCGTAGAGGCCCGCGAGGAAGGTGCCCATTGCTAGGCCTAGGGTGCCGACGCTGAAGCGGAGGTCTAGGAGCATGAGGGCGTTGCGGTTGGCGTCTAGGATTGCGCGGATGCTGGGTGGGTTTTCCATGTTAGTGATGTGTTCGAATTGTGGAAGCCTCGAGAGTCGCTTTTGGGAGTAGAAAAGGGGGGGCTTACATCTCCTCAGTGTTGCGGATGCCAGACACCAAGTTCTGAGCCTCCTGGACGATTTCATCGCAGAGCTTGTTGTACGATTCCAGCAGCAGCTCCACCTCGGTATGGTCGTCGACGCCGCGATAGAGGTCGTGGGCCTTTTCGGTGAGGTACATGGCAGCCAGGTCGTCGTCGGCCTCGAGCAGCTCCTCAATGGCGTCGCGGACCAGCTTGGCCTTTTGCTCAAAGGTGCTCACGCGCTTGGAGAGGATGAGTAGGACGCGCAGCTTGTGGCGGTCGATATCGTGCTCGAGCTCGCTGAGGACGCGGATGACGGGGTCCCGAACGGACTCGAAGTCGGCCTCGAGCTCCGACGTCACGGAGGTGAGGACGGCCTCGAGAGCGCGGAACTCGTAGGGGAGACCGCCTACGCCGTTGCCGCCGCCGCCCTGGGCGTTTTTCTGTTTCAGCTTGCCTTGCAGGTCGTACATGAAGGCAGATTGCGGGTAGGACGTCTTTGAGCCGTAGACGTCGAAGAGGAGGACGCGGTCCTTTTTGATGAGGACTTTGAGGTGGAGGAGGTTGAGGAGGATGGCGGACTGGCGGACAAAGATGTGAGGGAGGTTTGACGAGTCAATCTTTCGCAAGTCGCGGGGTAGCAGGCCGTACTACAAAACATCATATCTTTCGTCAGCGATCCAGTCTCTCATCACCGAGTCTCCCTCATTATCTATTCCCCATGGAGCACTTCTCTCACCTTTGCGATGAGCTCCGTCTTCTTGAACTCGCCATCCACCAGGATGACCTCGCCGTTCTCGTCCACCTCTGTGCACCGCAGCCTCGGCTCAAGCGCAGCTTTGGCAGTCAGAACGCGGCGATTGTTGAACATGGAGCCCCCTTCGTCGTGGAAGGGGAGGTCGTTGGGCTTCAGCGCCTTGGCGCCGCCCCAGCTCCTGATGCCCCAGAGCTTCTCCTTCCAGGTCCGCCGGCGGGGGGCCGATGGGTCGTCGTCACAGGCATCTTGCCTCACGCGGGTTGTGCTAAAGAAGGCGGTGGCCGTCGAGGGCGACGACGATGCTGCTGTCGCTAGTGGTTCGAGGACTCTTGGCCTGCGGGATATCCGGGCCGCGGCGGTGATGTGGAGCTCGGGTCGTCTACAGCTCGTCGTCGTCGTCGTCGTCGTCGCACTCGAGAGGGATCTTGTGCCCGTCTTTGGGGTCCGCCTCGCGAGGCACCGGGAGTATTGAGCTGCTGGTCGAGGGGAGCCGCCACATCGGGAGATACAGGCGGCGGAATCGATGCCTTGGTTCCGGCTGCTGAAGATTGAGGCCTCCGTTTGCGACCGCAGAAATCGGAGCAGGTTTGTCGAGGGTACTCGAGTCTGCATCGCGGGAGGCATCGCGGTCGAAGGACCCTTCACCGCATATAATTTTTTATGCTTCCCTCGTGGAGGCTGTCGGGTTCACTTGCACGATGGTCTGCAGGGTCGGAATTTGCGACGCGAAAGCTCTCAATTGTCGTCACTCAACCAACTTTTTTTTTTGGTCGTTTTCGCAGAGAGTTTAAAGTTGGGACCACTGCTGCACGGTCCAGGTGATCACGGACAGTCTTTGATGTCATTCGATACGGCTCTCGCACAGTACGAAACCCACATGGGGGGAAATCTCGAGGACCCTCCAGTCACTTAATTAGCGGGTTGAGAGAGAAAAAAAAAAGGGCATT